AGTCATTCAGGACCCCCATATGAGACCCTGATTTAAATATTTTGGCTGAGAAATGAACAGCCAACCAATTTTTTACACAAATTATGGGTTACAGGTGGTCAGAAAAGCAATGCTTTAAAGACCGGCAGATTGAGTTACAACGCTTCGAATCTTCTGTCCCCAAAATAGTTTCTTTCCTTTATTTATATAACTGTCACGTGTCTTTAATCTTTTGTTAACCCAAACTCAAGTAAATAGTTTACCCAAACTCAAATAAATTTTAGATTAAATAACTATTTCTTGCAAACAAGTGAATTATTGGAATAACTAAAATTTAATTATAAACAAGAAAAGAAAATATTACCCGTGACAATTGCGTTGAACACAACATACGTTGGCTATTTGGTTCCCATATGTTTAAACCATCTCTACTACCAGTAGGACCTTCATGCACATGCTTAAAAATAAAAAATATAAATGAATAATTATATCATCAAGACTCAAAAAAAATTATATCAACATAATATCTAATTAAAAGCTTGCTTTTCATGCAAACAAACCCATGGTTTATTTGAGTTTGGTTAACAAAAGGTTAGAGACATGTGGCAGCTGTATAAATAAGGAACAGAAGGGACAGAGACTATTTTGAGAACAAATGATTCGAAGCCCCCTTACAACGGGGCTAACGGTATAAAGCTAACTCTCGTAAATGACACATAGATTGTTTCTCAGGCTTACCTAGCTAGGAAATAAACCTGTTTGGAATGCGATTTTTTGCAGAAATATTTTTTTTGTATACTTCATATACGTCAAATTGCTATAATATATTTTTCTACTAAAATTGCTAAAAATAGCAATCCAAATGTGGGGCAGCCAGATCCCCTCTCCCCTGGAAAATTTTATCCCTTCATTGGCCAATCATTGGTTGTTTGTCTAGATTAGGATGGGTGGACATCAAAATGTTCTGAATGATTCCTGTGTGGATATAATACTAAATTAAAATAATATTGTGAGATGTATACACGTTTTCAAATGAGCTTTAAGCGAATGTTTTTATACCAAGTCGGTGAGTAGATTGGATGAGTTTCTATTTCATGGTTCAACCGATTTATCGTCTAAAATAATGTTTACTTTTTTATTTGCTTTTATATTAATGATTTGGATACTTGTAAAATATTAAATAAAAGAAGTGACAACAGGCTCAATTGTCCACCAGTTCAATTTCAACCATCAAATTCTTTTGTTGTTTTTGACCGATTCAATCAATTTTTTATTGAGTTTGGCCCATTTTTAAAATTTTTGAAATCTATTAGACCAATACCATAGCTACTGCATGGTCAATCAATCAAATCAATCGGTTTGGTCTAATTTTCAAAACACAAGCACAGAACAACAGAAGCACTGAGCTTTAGTTCAGTGGCTATCATCTCGCCTGGTGGGATGGGAGGTCAGGGGTTCAATCCTTGCCTCCCACTAAATTGTTTGCCTGTTATGGGCAACTCAATTGATTTCAGCAAACCTCCTTAGGAGCTGGTGTCCAGTGTCTGCAAGGGTTCGAGTCCTGTGATTATCGTGTTTGGAGGAATGGGACCTCTCCTCTCGGGCCGGACTGGGATCAGTCAGGCCCCGTAAGAATTGATCCGGACACCAACTCTATCAACAAAAAAAAAAAAAAAGCACAGAACAACAGTATGTTTTTCATTGTTTACACAACTTTTTTTTTTTTGTGGGGGGTTGGGGGTTTTGGGGGGGGGGGAGGGGGGTTGGGATTTGGGGACATTTGCGTAATAATTCTGAATCCTGTCCATGCCACTTAGATCTTTTTTTAGATCTTTTTTTAAATCTTAGCATTGGCCCTTTTTTTTTTCTTCTCTCTCCACCTTTTCTCTGATGTTCTTTGTTTTCCTCTTCTGTTCCCCCTTTCTTTTTGGTTTCTGAATCTCTTGGTTCTTCTCCTTCCAAGAAACCTTAGCCACTATTGTTAGTGGTGGCAACCAGGATAAAACCATAACCTTTTTAGTTTTTGCAAAACCCAAGGCATGTCTAACTCCTCCTTTTTGCATGGATAAATCCACCTCAATTTTATCACAACCAACACCAAATTCACAATAATTACACGACAATACTTCATAAAAAAAAAAAAATCATTAACTTGTTTGAAAGCCTTGACCTTTGTAATAATATCATGGGGTACCTTCATGGATTTCACCAATTCCCACTTTGTACTCCAAAGTTTTCAGTTAAAAACAATTCAAACTCTATTCTTTTAGCTTGTTCAACTTAACATTTGCTAACCATTTTAATGAAAATAACCAAGGCTAAACATGACACTAGCATTTCACATATCTGCTGTACTTAGAAGAAAATTAAATTAAGGTTTGCATGTTGTGATTAAAATTGAGATGATTAACTAAGTGTGCATGTTATAATTTAAATCAAGATCGACAACATCAGCAGAAAAAACAATTTACAATAAAAAAATAAAAATAAAACCAAAAAAGTCAATTAATTGCTCAAAGAATTCCTCTTAATTCTCCCTGGAAGGTGCATGAGAGAAACAAGACGTATTCGGTTCGGCCTATCTAAAATGAGTTTGTTTAAGTGGATTTAACCGCTGAAATGAGATTCTGACCGGTTCAAGAAAGAAGATAAGATTAATACAGCCATCCAATTCAATGTCCATTACAATTCTCTGTAGAAAGTAGGGTTTCGGTTTCGTTGAATTCTGACCTGGGCATCGGAGCTTTTCTCACAACGAAGTCCATTTCTTTTCACAAGTCATTTTCAAGCGGAAAGTCGGATAACAACCAAAAGGTTCTAGCCATTTGTTTCCCATCAAACATTTTTGACCCGCCATGGCTTCTTTCACATATATACACATTGCGAACTGACGACATCTCCAAGAGAACTAAAGGCTGAGTTGGTTGCGTGGTGCCCTATCTGACAAAGAAGCGGTACTATCCCATATTTCAAAGTTATTAAATCCGATCCAGTAAGGAACCGACAGAGGGGATTAGGTTAATGGGTCATTGGTTCAATTAATGAATTACTGGTTGAACCGATGAGTACTAATTTAGTATTTATAAATATAAAATAGTAATTTTAATACGCGCAGAATATCTAATAAAGTGCTTTTAGATACTAATTAATGTACTTAGAAGATTTAATAGAAGATTTAATTTCATTTTATCGTACTTATTCCTAAAAAATAATATAGTCAAATATGAAATAAAATTGTGTCTCCTGTTTTAAAATAATATAACATTAATTTTTCATTATTTTATTTTTATTTAAAAATAAAATAAGTTTTTAACTGCTCAAATATTGTCAATTTGAAAGTTAAAAGGATTAATTGTGTAATAAAAAGGTAAACAAGTTTATTTAAAAAATATTTTGTTATCAAATAAAAACTAAGCAAGTGTTAGAGTCTTGTGCACATTTAAATGAAGATCTAATGTACAAATCTTATCAAAAACATGTATATAATTTGATTAAAAAACAAAGACCCACAATTGAAAAAAACAAAATCAATTCAAAAATCAGATAGATTTTTGGTTGAACCAGCGAATCAGATGATTTTGTTCAGACTAATTTCTTGTCCGGTCAGACTAAAAACCCGACCCGAGCCGACCTAATGTTGGTTCAACACGAGATTGTTGAAGAACCTTTTTTCTTCAATAGAGGGTTTGTTTCTCTTCGACTCGTTTTCTCTTTCTAATTCTTATACTCCATTTTACCAGATTCATACGACATTGTAACCAAGAAAAATAGAAGTAGACCCATGTCAAAGTTCCAAAATCTTTCATGGCATATCCTCACCCGTTAATCTACTTCAAAGTGAAAATTTTGAAGTAGACTTAATTGCAAATGGGTGAAGATATGTAGTTGGCAGCTTAAATTTGCACTCATGGTAGTTTAGTATCCAAACTGGCATTCTTTATCATTTTGACCTCAGTACTACTTAAGTGCCCTTAAGCAGCAACCCCCCCCCCCCCCCCGCCAACTTCTCCTCTCTTCAACAACAAAAACACGAAGTCTTTTTGGATCAAACAACAATCTTTCGTGGCGCCATGGATTTCAAATCAATCATAGAACTTCACCGGTATTTCACACCAGAGATTTATTGAGTGGGTACAACGTTGCAGCTTCACTCGCGATCATCGTGGTGTAGAATTCGTAGGGCAGACAAACTTGGAGTAGCTATGACCACAGCCCCAGACAACGACATAACCCCAACACTCATTAATCTTTCACAGGACATCCTGCCCTACATACTTTACCCAGCCATCATTTTCTACTCCTCTGTTCAACATAAAAATTTCGTCATGTACATGAATATCTATACAAAAAGCTCACATGCCTAAGGAGTTTTTTTTTTTTTGTTGGGGGGGGGGGGGGGGGGGTTTGCTAGGAGCAAGATTTTTGTTTTATAGATCTTGGTAATCAAATAAAGAGAGTTCCTCAAATGCATGAAATTTTAGAATCTAGGATTTGTAAATGCTATTTTCTCCTTAGAACAGGAGTTCGAAAATAAGGGGTAATAGAAGTGAAAATACATGAGAAATCATGAGATCTTGAAATGACACGCGATTTTTTACTCGAGTTAGAACTCGACCAAGGCATTTCAAAATCCCCGTGGATTTTAAAATACCATGAATTTAGCATAAAATAAGGATTCAATCTAAACAACCTCAGAAGCGAAAACAAGATGCAAGTGAATTTAGTAGCATTGTAATGTTTAATATGCATAAAAAGACGAATGATAGTATAAGAAAGCAATATGAAGGGACTAGGGAGCCGATCAGGCAAAGAATTCCCCCACCCCGTCCATCATTCACTAGAATCCAGCCATCTTATTCTTACCTGCACAGGGCTGTGTATTTGGAAGTGTTCATTGGTCAAAAGCTGTCCATAGTGTCACTAGATTTTGCTTTTATGAAGCCATGAATTGACTGCCACAACCTTGTTTAGGCCAGAACACGGACTAGAAAAGCATTAAGAATAGCTTAAAGACACCAAACTAGTAGAAACAGCTATTTCGGTTTTTTTTTTTTCCCTGCTTTCCACAATGGCCAACCTAATTTACTCGGAAAAGCACAACATTGTTCAGCAGGTTCGAATACACAAAGATCAATTGACTATAAATGAATAACACGTCTATATAAATTTACAGCCAAGAAAAGCAAAATACTATGCCAAAACTGATCTAAAATGAATCGTGGCAACACGATTGCTAAAACACTAGGAAGCCAACCCAAAATGAATATGGTACAAGCAAACAATCACAACAACAAAATATGATAACCGCCCCCAAAGAGACCAGCCAATATTTCCATATAAACTCCTCTCTTTTAAAAAGACCAGACTGCCGATTGAAAGCACATAGCTAGAAGTTACAACCAAGGAGAAAGCCATTTTGCGCATACCCGAGGCGAATTTGCCCAAAAGCCTTTTGCTCCTTGTACATCCCTTTATACGTCCATCGATCGAATGATATTTTGCAAGGCCATCCAAATCTAGCAAGGTGAGAGGATACCACCTAACTATAAATATCTTTACTCAGGACTGACTGACATACAGTACAGGGACAAGCCCAGCCATTTTACCGTCCCTCCCAGGGCGTTTTTTCTTCACCTGCAAGAAAATGTGCAATCAAACATGTCAGCCACATTTAAAAAGAAAGAAAAAAGTTTACTGATTAGAGAGCAAATAAACTCTTACCAAAAAAAAGAAAAAAGAGAGAGAAAATAAACAACCAATCAAAGAAGCTAACTATGACCCAATATATGAACTAATCATTTTCTTGCAGGCCGAATCACTAAAAATCATGAGATAAATGCATTTATAAGACCATATATTTTGGTCTTGGACAATAAAGAGGACAGACACTCACATTAAGCTCTTCAAGGAAAAAAATAAGCCATAAATAAATGAAGGTTTCTTCTATTCTGTGCCTAAGCACAACAAAAAGAAGGTGGTGGCCCACTGTAAAACTCTTACATTATGCCCCACCCCCTAAATTGTGTACACTTTGACATACAATACTTGAAACTTTTGCAGATAATGAAACGCCAGGCCCATGTAGGCCCAGAATAGAAGAACCCATAAATGGGGAAAAAAATTCAGAAAATACAGTTTCTCGTCACATTTCATTCCCCCTACAAAGACTCTATGCCTCTTTATCATTTTTCAATAGCAGTATTAAAAGTCAAGCTATAAAGTATCATTTCTAAAAGAATATGCTGTTTAACTTTGCAGGTCCACATGTTATATACTGTAGCATGTTTTGCCCTAAACCAGAACCAGATTCGTTTGACAGGAACACACATTCAGGTTTAACCAAATTATTCTGTAAAAGAACACATAGCATTTTAATCTGATAAATTTAAAAGCATTAAACCTCATTGTGGTTTAGCTTGACGTAAGAGTTTTCTCTGACAGTCTAAACCAAATACATCCTCCATTATGGGTCACCCAAATACATACTCATTCCTTCATGCCTTAAAATTTTTGCATGATTAGTTCTATTCAACTATGAAGATAAACTTATCCTATGTAAACTGTTCCACAAATTCCATTTGTAGGTAGAGACGGGCAACAGTTATGAAGTTTAAAGAATGCTATAATTGCAAATACAGAGCACATTATAGCACAAGAGAATATGTGCCCATGAAGACTAGATAAAGTTAGACAAATTCCATTTACCTATGCATTAATACAGAGAAAAGTTTAGCAAAATCCATTGAGTAAAAGGAACATATGGAAGATATGAACATTCAACTCAAGGTTACATCTCTTCCACATCCTTCTTCCATAGACATAATCAACCAAAAAACTCGCAAACGGCTTTAATTTGGAAAAAGGAATTTCGACAAGGCAACATCCAAAAGAAAAAAAGAATCTGTGATCAAATTTCATCTAAACTGACATAAAAGAGTAACATAACTAACACACACACAATAAGAACAGGCACAACTCAAAAGAATATCTTATTTGATCTATAAGATTAGAAATCCTAAGAAACAAAACAAAGTCAAGGACAAAATTTCCTCATAGGACGATAAGATAAAACACAGTCAAGGAGAGATGAGGGCATAACGAAATTGACTTGAGTTCATGTGCACATTTTACTTACATAAAACCAGCCATCTACTTCATATTCAATTTCAACCTCTTCTCCTGCCGTCAGATTCAGCTGTAAAAAATGGTAAACCACCAAACATCAATTTCCAGAAACAAAATGCTTAAGCACAGCGACTTTATAGATATAGAGCTCTGGACACCCATGGGCCTCAACCATAAACTAAGATGTCATACTTAGAATATCAGAACAACCAACAAATAGACAAGATGTATAAGTAAACCATCACTCAGAAAGTAGCAGTGTAGTATTGCAAGATTAATTTGTCCTATTTCTTCAGAGTTTAATTACCACAGCTCATCACAAAACCACAAAGCATACCTCATCATCACCACCAGCAGTAAAGTCATAAAGAGCTGTGCCATGTTGTCGATTTGTGGAAGAGAGTCGCTCATCATCATGGGATCCAAAACTTTGTGAGCCAGGACCAGCTAAGGGGTTCTCAAATGACTCGTATCTTTGATGGGTAGGAGATGAATATGGGGGAGGCTCTTCTCTTATCTTTAATGCCCAAGTACAAGAAGTAATGGGATTAACACTTTCAAAAATACATACGATTTAAAAAAGTAGCAGCAAAGAAGAACCACCACTGCCATGACAGCATAAAAGCTCAAAACAGGGGAATCAAATTCAAAGATGCAGTATGGTGTAGATGTTAATTAGGTTGAGAAATGACATTAAAAAATGAAGATTGATCTAATTTGAAAAAACCAGCCAGCCTAAGTAACCATGATAAAGCAGTCACCAGATTCTAAGCAAAATAAGAGAGACAACAGTCTGAGTTGGGAAACCAACTTTCTCTGCTTCTTTTACGGACGTATCCTGATTTATAATTAAGCTTACACCAGTTGTAGGATCTTTAAAGGATATTTAAATATGAAAATTACAACACAACTATAGCTCTTTCTTTACATTTAGTAAATTAATGATGGCAATAAGCACAACTCAATGGTTCAGATGTCCATACCGGGGAATTAAAACCCTCATATGAGTTTCCTCCAAAGGAAGGATGGCTAAATCTGCTTCCACCAGCCCTCTCCTGTCATTAAAAAAAAAATGTGGCATCATTATCTTCTTCAATACCATTTGCCTGTCATTTTTGAATAAATAACCTGTTCATCATATCAACTTGAAGGAGCTGAACTCAAATTATAAAGTTTATTTGTCAAAATAAAAGTTTCTAGACAGCAATTAGCTGATTCCAAGGTTCCAGCAAACTAACCCTAGAACAAGAAATGCCATGAAGCTGTAAACTTGGAAGCATTATTGCGAAGATGCTTTTTCTTTGCTTTCCTATGTTCATGCATGTTGTACATAAAAGCAATGACAATATAAAAAGAAACCGGTTCACATCGATCCCATTTGTCTCAAAAGATACTGGAACCATACCAAACATTTGCGGAATTGCAACAGTGTGCTTTCGCCATGTGTTTACTCACGTTTTGTTATAAGGTTGAGGAATTCCATCAAATTTTCAAAAGTGGAAAAAACCTTGTGGAAAATAATTTGCAATTTTGTGGATCAATTATTCCCATAATAATGGTAACTGTGCTGTGTGCAGTTTTCCTTTGCACTGACAGCTCACATGAGAAAAAACCAATAAAATACAAAAACAAAAAAGGATCCACAGTTTTGATGAAAAAAATATTAAATTGTTTTCTAATTGTTACTAAAATTCAAGATATTTCCTTTAATTGCCTTTTCAGTCCCTTTTGCATTGGAAAATTTGGTAACAAAACACAATATTCAGATAAAACAAGAAACGATTATAAACCACCCTACCCAATATGATAACAGCAACTCCTAACCATTAACAGAACAAGATATTGGAATAAAACAAAGTTTTACGCAATAAACATTTATGCTAAAACAAACATATTCAGAATTAAATGCTAGGTCAAAGAATACCTAATTAGTATCCAACTGCAATTAAACTAGAATGTATCTAAAATCCATAAATGTTATACCGTGGACTGAGAAGAACCATAAGTGGAGGGCTTCGAACTGAACAGCGATGGATAGTTCATTCCACCAAAATGAGATGATATCGATGTCTCAACTGATCCAACCGAGTCAGGGGAAGAAGAACCAGAAGACCTTGTATCTTCCTGTGACAACAAAATGATAGTAGTATAAAAATATCTATTATACAAGTAGACCCCAATATAATCCAAGTCCAAGAACCTCCCACAAAGCAAATTAAAAACATAACTACAACAAACTTGCACAGCTATAAGATCCAGTATCTAACCTCCATTTCTGTGGTCTCTAAAAGAGTCTTTGCCCACATATCGTCGTAACTCATGGAAGGTCTAGAAGTAATATTCTCCTCAACGTCAGGAGCATCGGTACCAGCACCAGAAAGGAATTCATTTACCTAAAGTTATGCAAAGGTCAAAGAATATGTAATCCAGCATGACATAAAAAGGCAACAATTTATAGCAGGGATGTGAGATATGGATGAGTTTTTTTATGATGATATGAGTAGGTTACTTCTTAGGATAGCAGATTATGAAATCCTAAAGCAACCGTTTACTTCCAATAACTCGCAACAATTAAGATACCAACATGTTTACAAACTGAGAGGCTCAACTAGAAGGAACCAGTGGATACAAGAATGTCCACAAGCTTAAGGAACCAAGAAAGGATCTATACTCTCATCCAACATCAATAATCTATTGCTATTCAATGAGCTTCTGAAAAACAGCACTGACTGGAAACCTATTTTTGTGCAAAGCCGGAGTTATTTATGTTCAATGCAGAAGTAACCGAACAGAAAAAAAAATGAGTGGACCTCATACCACCAGGCCAAAATCCATGGTACTTGTAAGAATGTAAAGTTGGCGAAACTTCAATCCCTCAATCTCAAAAATATGACTTTCTTAGCACCTCTGAGAAGCCCTCTTACTAATGTTTAAAAAGAAAAACTAAACACAAAAACAGAAGATTAATTGATCTCGTACCCTACTCATTGCAGGAGCATTACTTCCCAACAAGCCATCATCACCAAGGTTTGCAGCCCATGCATTTACAAGGTCATCATCAAGTGTGTCAGGCTCAGCAGGCGTTGGTTTGGCTGTTTCATAGATAAGATCAGAAATGCCAGTGGCAACAGCTGGGTCACTGAGGCCGGTTGATGCACTTATATTATGCCGAGTGCGGTAAATGTCAATGAGTTTTGCACTGTTGAGTGTTTAAATATAGATAAACAAGTAAACAATATGAATATTGTGAGTACCAAGGCAGATTAAAGAAAAGAATAAAATTAACACCAATATTTAGCCACAAAAATGTATAAATAGTTTGCGATCTATACTAAATTGACTTTCATTTTTTTTTATTGTTAGCCACAACTATGTCTGACACATCTATAGTGGACATAAATTTGTGGGTAAATAATTCAAAATACCCAAAGAAATGAAACTGAAATAAAAACCCTACATCAGACATGCATCAAGTTGCCATGTAAGAAAGATTGGAAAAAGGAAAAGAAAAGCAAACTGCAAATATTACTTGTAACAAATGAATTGGACATTGAAGGTTCAAAGTCCCCAAAAAAAAAAGTATAACAATTCAGTAAAAATGATAAAATAGGAGAAAATTACACTGGCCTCAGTTGAGATCAGTCCTAATTAAAGGAGGTAACTGTAATTTACTCCAAAAATAATGTACCTTGTCGGCCCCAAAGGAAGATATTTGGCTCTTGGTACATAACAAAACAGTGAAACAAGATCTAACAGTCTCTCATGAGTTTCATATAGTTTCTTAAGTTCATCATCTGTCCACTCCTTTTTGGCATTGTCATGATTCCGCATCTCCCTGAAGTATGAAGGTCCATAATATGTGTTAGAAACCAGATATATGCAGCAATTGCGAATATTAATAACATCTTCTTGCTAAAAGTGACAAATCCTACTCTTACTTTATCAGCTCATCTTGTGCACCATACATTTCGTCAAGGACTTTTATCATAGGACTTATTAAAGATCCAAGGCCAGTACCACTAGCTCCTTGATCTTCTCCATTACTAACATGCATATCTGCAAGTTGAGACTGCAGACCACCCTGTTCTAAGGTATGTAAAAATTCATAGATTTGCAGCCTGTAAGGCTCGCCAGATCTAATTGCCATAGTTGTAAGAGCCTGAGCAGCAATAATACGAACCTGGAATAAAACAAAAATAAAAATAACAAGAAGAATTATGATGAGCTATATTTGAACCAGCAAACCAGTTCAAACCATTTCTCAAATTCCACCCCTCCCCTGCTGGAAAAAAAATTTTTTTTTAAAAGCAGCAAACCAATTATGTTCTCAATTTCATAGACAGAAAGTAAATATATCCTACATGTAGCCAAGGAAAAATACATTGGGGTAGGTAGGAAACTAAAATATTCACATTCTATCCTCATATATGGGGATCATATGACCATGCAAAATATGTATTTGGAAATAGTACAACTGAATGAGGTTAACACCAGACACCAAATTGAAATGCAAGATATCAATGTGGAAACGTAAGGGTGCTTTTAGAATCTCTCTCTCATGAATTTGTAATTACATCTGCATTGATGAGCCTTTGCTCTAATTCCTCAGATGAAGCCCACAACAGAGAACTTTCCTGAAAGATTTACTTTTCTTGACTAAGGTTAACACCTGACACCAAATTGAAATGCAAGATGTTGATGTCAAAAAGTGAGAGTGCTTTTAGAGAGTATATCTCATGAATCGCTAGGTACATGGTGCACTGACAAGCCTTTGCTATAATTCTTTAAATGAAGCCAACAGATAGAATTTCCTTTAAAACCCGAATAAGCAATAGATCATGTCCTGCTCCCCACAAGAATTGCTCCTCTGGTCTTCGACATGCCAAGTGGTAGTGATGATATGGATGTTTAACAACCTACTGCTAGGCTTATATTGGGTCTCCTAAGTCCCACAGCTCAGCTATTACTACCAACAACAAGTCTAATACACAAGATACAACAGAATCTAGGAAATGCCTGTCCTACATTGCAACCTGCCCCAAGTCGTAAATGGAAGATTTGGACAAAGGTTTTCTCCTGAGCTCTATTGACATGTGTGGTGGTGCAATTTGATGATGATTGCATAGGTTGCCATGCTACCCAGATCTAAGATGCTTCTTTCACCTCTATATGCTGAATATAGATGTTCACCAAGCGAAGGTACATTCTTAAAGCAAGAAACCAACATATATTTCTATTTCAAATTGAGATATATTCGTCTATATTCACCAGATTTCACAAGCACGAAGAACAGTTAACTTTTCAAGCCCATGCAATGATCATTACAGTATTTGATCTTACCTCCCAGCTACCACTGAAAGCGCATCTTTGGAGCCGAGTTAGAGCACCAGCAAGAGTTGGATTGCGAGAACTTGCAGCAGCAACCATTTTATCCGCATCCAACATCATTAATGCAGTACCAGGAGGTGTAGCTGATTCCCAAGCATACTCAGAGGCAGCATAATTTGCATTCTCCCCAAGGAACCAAACCTGCAATTGCATGACAAACATTGCTAATTGAAGAAGCCAACTTTCAATAGCTGTTTAGAAATGATCAGAAACATCATCTTGGATCCCATCAATTAAACACATTTCTTACCGCTGCTTGGACTAAACGCTGCAAAGCCAAAGCAGATTTTGGATCGGATGCTGATACCCTGTCAATTGAGGTAAGCTCAGACATTGAGCCAGGCTGTGGAGGTGGTAAATCTAGCACTATTGTGACTGCCTCGAGAGCTGTGTGCTTTCCATCAGGGCCAGCTCCAACAAGACAAGTCTGCAAGCATAAACGCTATTAAAAGCAGTGTCCTACCAACCACAGAGAGGGGGAAAAAAAAGCTACAAGAGGAATCAGAGAGATGGCTTTTAACACAAGATAAAAGCATAAAACAAAGCAAGGTAATTAATAAATAAAAATGTATTGACAAGAAATCTTTTCCACCATTAATGAACTAACATTAGGCCTCAATTTCTGGCAAACGCAGTCCCCAAATTCATTGGCTAAATGAGGTCAACACAAAACTCCTCAAGTTCATGAAATCCACAGGCACACAAAACAAACCTCAGACTGTACATATTAGCAGACAACCTTACTGGCACTCCTTTAGACCTCTACTCAGATCATTTTCTATACATGGGTGGTTTGTTGGGATATCTGCTCTTTCTAGTTGTACAATTACTATTCCACGGGGAAAAATTATGGCAAGAAACTTGATTCTTTTTAGAACCAGAATCAGCAGTTTATACATATGATGATTAATATCTTATAAGTCAGAATACAGCCTAGTCACAGAATACCAAATCCAAGTTGAGAAACAATCAGTGAGAACCTACTTTCCACAGTAGTTGCAGAACATCAGCATCGATCTTCCCAGGAACTTTGGTAGCAAAAACCCTTGCAATTTCAAGAAGAGTAACAGCCATATCTGGTGTAGCCTAGTAAGCCCATAATGAAAAAGATAGCTGTAAATATATGGCGCCAAATAAGGGGAGGAAAATTATACAAATGAATGTAGTCTCAACTTCAGGCATGCTCAAAGACCTAACTGGTTTATTGAATGTATATCATAGATAAAGATGCAAACATACATATGCAATGGAATCCTTTTCTGACAACATCTGAGGTTGAAGGGTTCCAAGTTTAAGGTTAGATAATTTTCAATAAATTTCTCATACAAGTTGTCCTATAGGGAAAATGTAGAATCACACACTTCAGCATTCAATACACTCTTTTGACAAATTAAAAATTCTGATGCAGATAAACAAGTCCACATACCTAGTAAATTAACATTTAGAATTTGAGTAACAAAAGCAAATTAAATGAACAAGCTACTGTTCCTAACTGTATTTTAAGTTGAAAAATCAATTCAAATATTCCAACACAAAAGCAAGGGGGGGTCAAAAAAGTTCAAGGGAGAATGACTTCCTAAGGCAAATCCAAGGTCGATCAGACTGCAAATCCGTGGTCGATCAAATCAATGCAAGCCATGTCCAAGACATTAGCATTGCAACAGTTCTAGAGGATATTGAGGAGCTGAAGGAAGATTTTGAAGAGTGCAATTTCTCCTTTGTGTATAGAGCAGGCAACATGTGTAGCCATACACTAGCTCAAAATGCAATTAAGCTAGTACATGATATAGAATGGGACAATGAGTTCCCGGTATGGCTGATGGATATAGCTAGGAAAGATATGAGGGCAGTTGCCCCTTTTTGTAACTAATGCTTGCACTATCAAGTGTTAATATATAAAAGTACTAATTACGTTTGTTGGAACAAAAAAAGAATGACTTCCTAAGGCAGTTAACAGATTTTCCAAAATTTAGGAAGGCTGGCCTTCTTTTTCCATCCACCAGCTGTTGAAAGTAGCAGAAATTGATTAACTGAGCTTTCAAGGTAACAAAAAGACCCCAGAGCTCAATACTACGATTCTCACCAAAAAAAAAACACACACACACACACAGAGTAAAATTGATAAAAAAAAAATCAAGGTGGGCGCATTACTACAGCCTTAAATGTCCAACTGGACATTCAGAACACAGTTTCAACAGAATTTTGACTCGTCAAAATCACATCTCATTCCAGTGAATATCATGAAATCCCAATGACCAAATAATTGGATAAGTTCCCTGCACGCAAATCTTCTCACAAAAAAAAGGACAAGCAAAATCTCTAAAGGATAAGCATAAAGACTCCTATAATAAACCTTTCACGACTTTTTCTCCCAAACCAAAGAAAATGTAGAAGGAAATTGGCAAACAAGGAAACATTGGAACCCATAGTACAACTGAAATCACAAAAGAATGCTAAGCACTGGAGAAAGAATTCAGGAGAATTCCCAAAGCCAATCACAAGCTAAACTGACCAAACTTCCAGAATTGATGAGAACCATAACCCCCAGAAACGGATGGTAGCATAGAACGAAAGGAAAGAAAATGAGATAGCATTAGGAAAAAGACCATGTTACCAGTTCTACATGAAACCACAGAATAATGTCTAGCAATTCGACGAAGTAGTCCAAGAAGCCAATGAGAGACAAAAAATTCAACTATATATCAACCCTATAGTTTTTGATATCCTAACTCTCACGCCAACTCTTTGCTAAACAGAAAAAGCTTCTTCCAATGTGCAGCAAATCCATGAAGGATCTCAGTAATTGTGAAAACTGAAGCAGAAGATAATAAAGACCTATTTTGGCCAATTAGTGGCATAAAAATACCTTACAGATATACAAGTGATTCATCCAATTCCCAAAGGACAAAATATCAATATAAGTTTTACTTTTGTCACCTGCTCATTTACATACCTTAAAACGAGCGTGCAATGTAAGCAATATATCATTTAGTAATGTTGCTGGCCAAGATGGATCAGAGAGCTCGGATGCAATGATGGATTCTAGTTCACCAAATGATTCATGTGGACTTTGCATCCATATGAGAGCTTTTATTACCATAGCACGAACATAAACACATTCACATGCAACAGTTGTTCGTACCACCTCCATCAGGGAAGCTAATAGGCCTGCAATTGTGTCCTTGCCACTTGTTCCATTAGATACCGAGGAAACGCGACGAAGACCTAACAAAGAAGAGATCAGAAGAGCAAAAATAAAAATTGCTTACACTTTTAACAGATAGACAAGGTTAAACCACTGGTCATTAACAGTTCTCTCTCAGCATAAGCTACACAAGTACAAAAGAACTAAAACCTTTTCAGTTTTTCATTGATTGTACTTATTTGCTTTATATGGGACACCATTACTCCATTTGATTTTTTTTTTTTTTAAAAAAAAGCAAATAAAATCTTGAAGCCTAGAACGGGGAGATATAAAATGTTCAAAATTCTAAATAAAATGTATCACTGAAATTAGTTTCCAGGCATAACAGCACAAAATACAATGCAGATTGACCTATGAAGAATTTACTAACCAGATAAGCTATCACCATAATTTACAGAACAAAAATGGCCAGTGCTATCTAACCGAGATTTAGCTTTTCCTGTTGGATATTATCTTCCTTCATGTAAAACCAAAAGTATATCCACCAACATCTATTTATACACATTCTTGGAAATTAAAACATAAAATACTAGGGTTTTGACATTGACAAATATATGGGCCCAAGCAAAAGGGAAAAGAAATGAAGAACATCAAGATTAGCAAGGCCAGCTACAGATATTAGAAAGTTATATCAATCCTGCATGCACTCAGTTCACAACTAAGAGCAAAGGACATCATACATAAAAAGCCCGTGGTTTATGTGCATGAAACTTTAATTACACAGACACAAATAACTATGTATAAGCCCTTCACTGATCCATGATACAAAAGATGTAAATATTAGATTTAATATTAGTAATCATGGAAAACCATATCAAGGAGTCTGCAAGTAAAAACTATGCAGATACATGACACAACCAAAGAATAACCCAAGCAAAACATCATTGAAGAAAACTTCGTAAACGACATAGAACTACATCATGCATCATAGAGATGTTTCATGGCAACAAACATGGAGTCGAACACCAAGCGATTAAAAAGCAAAGAGAATTAAGATATTATGACAAAGTTGCTACCCTCAGATGTCTCATTCAGATCTTGATCATATGAATCACTACTTTCAGAGAATGAATTAATGTGAACTCCTTCATCTATATCCTGTAAACCAACAGCAAAAGCTGCAGCACGGCTTTTCCCCATTTCCTGCACAACCCTAGCTGCAGCATGAAGTACAGGACGAGAGAAACTACGGAAAGAACTCTCCAACCTGCAAAAATATAGCAGCAGTCAAACAATTTTGGTATCATAATGACATTTGACTAGCTCAGTCCACAAATAACTATATTCCGGAAAAATAAGTCCATATAGAATTTCAAGCAAAGGAGAAACGAACGAACCTCCTCATTACAAGTTTTATGAGCGGTTGAGGCCGCTTTGTCTTTGAAGATTTTTCTTTAGAGCTCTTTGCAGGAGCAGCATCTTTAGAATCAGCCTTTGTCTCTTTCACAGAAGGTGCTTCAGGAAGCTTAAGAATCTCTCTTGTCAGACGATACCATCCAACAGCTCGTTCCTCAGTCCTACAGAAAATCAAAGCAAGAAGACAAATGAGAAGTACTGAAGATACCAAAACGGGAAGGATCTGAGATGCTGCAGCAAATTCGACAAACTAACTATCAAGCAGAGCTGAGGAAAAATTGAATTTGGAATAAACAGTATACCTCTCTGCATTATCCAGCTTTCCTAATACACAGAGGATAGCCTCAAAACAAACTCTTTCACTGGGGTCAAGGAGGAGCTGATAGAGCACGGAACTAAACTGAGACCTAATATCTGGCCGATCTGCATACATGTCCATGTAATCTTTCAATGCTTTCATCTTTAAACAATTAACAAGCTTGCAACATAGAAAAATGAGAAGGGAGAAAAAGGAGGGGAAAAAAAGTAATAAGTGAAAATTCATGGTGTTGTGCAAGGTACTCTGAAATGGACATACCATCTAGTGATCGAGCTCTAGAAATCGTATGGCACAACCTGGCTAATGCAACTCTTGCAAGAACGTCATGCAAATGAAGAACATCATGCAGAGCCCCTGATTATACAAATTATTGGAAGTAATTTTGGATCAACAGAAACCAATGCCAGTTAACATAGAAAACATGACAATTGAAAGGAAATTATCACACATACCACCAGGTTGCACAACCTTTCCTGCAAAGAGAAAATTTAGGCCCATAAGGATGACTTCCAAAACTAAGGCCAAAATAAACTAGACCACCATGTTTTATGAAATTGAAAAATTATAATTACAATTCATATGTTAAATTCACTAGAAACAGAAAAAAGGTTCTCAACTTTGCAATGTAAAAAATACCAGAACAACAGAATGAGCAGGAGATGCCTAAATTGCATTAAAAAGAATTATCCTAAAACAGGCTACTATGTCAGTGACCCAAGATTCCAAACAACTTACCACACATGACCACATTTAATTCCCTATTTGGGCATCCCATTTAATTTACAAGTGAAATCTTCTCCCCATACTATACACTTTTATACACAACAAAATAATCAGTTATGGAATATTTCAAAGTCCATTTAATGAACCAGGGAAAAGACAGGAAGTAAAATCGTAATAATGAGAAAAGGGGTTTAACAACAAAGGTAAAATTCACAAGCCAATAATAAAATCAAAAAGTTGAAAAAGAAAGTTCATGGTACAGCAGCTCAATAATATGTTTAGTGCTGGAGCATTGATGCAACAAGCAAATTTTACCAGATATATTCTTAAGTTTTGTTTAAGGTCATGCATTCAAAATGCATTCTTTTCTTGTGTTTTTCTTTTCATGTAGTAGTTCTAGAACATTATGTTTGTTAACTTTTGCCATAACTCAAACTTCAGAGTCAAATACATATCCATTTCAGATTGAATCCAAATGGCAGACATGTCTTTAAGATTAATTTAAGATTTTAAACAGTTTCATTTACCCAACGCCATTGCAACAGCATATGGATCGCTTGTGCCTAGTTCAGATAGAATTTCCAAAGAATGCCTAACAGCTACTGGATCAGCAAATGAAACTCTGCAACAACAAAGGAAAACAACATGACAAACAGTGTTAGATATGCAAGACGGAAAATCATTACTCATAAATCTCAACATTAAAGGTCAAGATAAATTTCTGTACCAAAATACTATAGCATGAAAATAAACCCTTAAAACTGAACCTTGTTTCAGCAACATTTGTTTACCAATGCGTCATATGCAGAAGTAAAGAAGCAGAGATACAGAAAAAGAAAGTGGGATCAGGAACAAAGACTTGGCAGGGAATGCAGATTTCAAGAGCTAGTGCAAATAAGAGATAATGCCAAAGAAGAAAATTTTAAGTACATGGAGAGCCAAAACATGTTATTTGGTAAAAACACTGAACCAATGATTTCCATTTGAGAATTATAACGCAATCTTTGTAATAAAGCAGTTGCCTGAACAAGTGAATGCAGAAACTTTATCACGACCATAATTTGGGAACAAAGGTATCACAAGCTACACAAACTACTTTAGATTGATAAATACTGCCAATTTTTCAGTGGATGGAACTTGGAAGTGGCATATATTTACATCCATTGAGCAAGATAATTACGGAAAAATCGTACAGTGATAACAAATTAAAGGCAGATCTGCCTACAATGGATAGTCCTCGAGTCCTTATTTGAGGTCAATATGACATGAGATCAATTAGGCCTTGAAATTTGAGATCAAAACAAGGACTTTTCTGGGCCTGCATTTTGATAAAGAGATCCACCAGAATAGGGAAAGAAAAAATAACAGGAAAAGGAATTAATGCTTTCAGCTATAGCTGGATAGCTTGATGTATTCCTCCCAACAAAAAGTTTCCAAAAGCATCATGAAACCAAAAGGACCAAATAATATTATTTCTCCAGTCTACAATTGAATAGATACACCAAGATCATGAACTAATTATGATACACTTGGAATTTGTAGAATATCCACAAATAAACAAAACCAACCTTAGAACTACAAAGATGCTATTGTTGCCTAAATATTTACTCATCCTAGAATATGATTCTGTAGAAAGTCTTCAAGAGCCGCCTTTCAAGGTGAATCAATTTCAAAAAAAATCTTCCTAAAATTAATCCTTCCAATATTGCTAGAATTTCCTGGGTTGACACATCTGACATTCTGAAATGAATTCACATATTAGTTAGATATAAATTGGAAAACATGTAAGATCAGTATGTTGGTTAATCCACATTTGCATATATCTATCCGACCACCTTGTTGGAACTCCATTATCCAAAGCTTGGAATTAGTACATTACTATGTATTTAATTACAAAAGAGTGAATAATGTTCTAGGATGAACCAACATGACCAAGGCCTCCAACTTGCAAGGAGTAACTTTTCTTGAACATTCAATGGCAGTAGTGAAAACCTTACATACTAACATGAATAAAAAGTTCCCCTGATCCCGTTCACCTTTATTACTGAAATATCATCACAGCCAAAATGCAAAAGAAACTACAGCTGCCATTCCATCGAGCAATAGAAACAAGATAAAATAAATAGCTGACCCTTGTACAGCACGATGAAGAAATGCTGGATTTCCTGGATCAAGAGGAAGTCTTCTCAAAGCACTTATGGCAGCATATTGCAAGTTACTTCGAATGATAGACTGAGACAACATAAACAGAACAAAAAAATCAAAATCACACTTCAGTAAAAGTCATGTATCAAATATAGATCAACACCATGATATCCAATGTAGAAAGGTCATCTTTGACTTGACACATCCGGCTAGTTTACTTCTAATACATTGAGAAGTTTATATGCTTTTGGTTTCACAAAAGCCAAACTTCTTCCGTCATGGAGAAAAGAAGAGCTTTTACTGGATAGAGAGAATAAGAGTCATATTTCCTAGCATCATTATCCCCAATTGAGAAGCTGTATGAGAATGATCTTTCCATTTCTCTAGCATCCAAAACTATTTGTCGTTCTTAAAAATTTGAGAAAAATAAGCCAATTTTGTCCAGATAAAGTCTATTTCATTCCATAAAAAAATCTTTTCCCATTTCTTCAAAGCAATCTGATCAAATCATACACCCAGTCTCTATCATGTTAGAAGCTTAGTCCAGATGGATCTACTGCAAACACAACTAAGAACTCAGTAAATGCATAAGTCAGATGCCATCAGACAAAATTATTGATAATTTATACAGGGAAATAATGAGAATCATGAACATGAAAAAAATAAATAAATAAATGAATGGAAAGAAAAAATCATGAATTTTAACGACTTTGGTTGGGCTGATTAATACTAGGATACCAGGAAAAAACGAAAAACCAAATAAAGCAGAAAAATTATTAAGTGACGGAAGTGAGTAACATACTACCTCTTTGTCGCCTCCTTTTGCCCCAAAGATGCCTTTCTTGCGTTTTTGAGGGTCAGCAACCTAAATAACAAGCGACAATTAATATAGCCATACAGCTTTCAGTTCACACTCAAACTATCTAATCATATAGTATAGAATCTCATCAACAACTATGCAAAACATAGATGAATTAAAAAACAAATTCTCTAATTGTCCATCAAACCAAAAAGTGTTTCAGGTACAATATTTGGGAATGTACAACATCTACGAAGGTCTACTCTAGTTACCACCATGGGGGCAGTTAAGAAAAAAAAAATTCCAGTTTTCAGAAGATTGATTCATGTCCTTCTATGATGTGCATGACTAATGCCCACACTTCAGAGGTCATTAAAAATTTCCTTTCAGAATAAATGGAGATAACACTGATTACTTTCACATCTGTGTTTTTTCTCTCTTTTTTACACCTTCTCTACTCCTCTTTTTAGTCTAAATATTACGTCAAATCTTTGAAAGCATCAGCCATTAACTACTATGTCCAAGCACAAATCCTATACCATCCTCTACTTAGCCCGTTAAAGATGCATCCAACGTAAATCGGATTTTAGGTCCTTGCTTTCCTGTTACATGAGCTCCAGTAAGATCCAGATCAGACTGTCATTCATGGATTTATTTTCTGTTAGCATATATTATCTATCTGCCTTAAAATTGGAGCAGAAAACAACTTTTATAGTGTAATAGACTCCAATATTCAATTTCTTGAGCAGAACCTTTAGAAGTCAACATCTTTTCAGGAAAAACCACAGATCTAAGTTGCAACCAATCTAAACAGGTTCACGCCCATAATAGAGTAAGAGTAGCAAAGAACTGTCAAAAGAGCAAAAGCTACTCATCTTTCCAATGTGCGTGAGAGAGAGAGAGATATGAGGCATATATCTTTTGCATCAAGACAAACCTTATCTAGAATGCTAAACACAATCTCATACAACTTGGTCAAGATTTCAGAGCTGCTGGAAGGAGCATATGTCAGAGCCTTCAATGCTTGGAGCCTTCGTGGATGAACTTCACATGTGAAAAGAGATATCAACAATGGATAAACCTTAATAAAAACCGTAGATGATAGGAAGATGGATTTTCAAGGTAAGATAAATGAATCAGTTGATGCTTACAAGATTACCTTAATCTATTATATTCACCATTCCTATCTGTTTCTATCCAGATAATTGCCTTTATGCAGAAGGAAATGTCATTTACTCTAACCACTTGAGTTCCCGTTGAGCCGGAATACTACCTGCCCCTCAAATGGAAGCACACATGACTGGGACAAAATTATGACAGTCAACTAAAGCCATAAATTTATCATCACCAATTCTTAGCCAGTTTTATCGGCCCTACCCCGCATTGATCAGGCACAAAGAAATGAAGTTTTTTCAGAAGTAACTACATTGAAGAAATTTAAGAGCTCTCTGCTGATTCATGGATTATAAGCTCCTATACCACTTTACACTAAACATCAGCATCAACCCATAGCATTGACAAGGCACAACCAAAAGGAAACTAATTAGAAGTAACTGAAGTAAGAAGTTATACCCAAAAGAAAAAATCTCATAAATAAAATAAGACAGAGATTGAGAGACACTTTACATTCAACATCTTCATTTAAGGCCTCAGAGGTTAGCCGATCTACAATTCTAGGTACAACATCAGCTCGTGTCACTCCGCCTACAGCATCAATGTCAGCTAAAGCATCCCAATTAGGAGTAGGAATCCCACCGCCTGGACTCAAACCTTGTGAACCAGTGTCTGAAAGAATTCTGGCCAAGTAATAATAAACATAACGCAGAACAGTCCTATCCTCACACTGCTGATCAAGCTGCCAGCCATAAGAAGATAGATAAGGGAAAAACAGTCAATTAACATTGACTTTGGCAAAATAAATACACAGCAAAATCCAACACATCCAGTTGAACATATTTTCTAACAGTCAATTTTTTATTCCCACAGACAACAGCATATTAATGTAATCTATGTGAAGAAGCAATTTTTAATTGTCATATCCAATTTATCAAGAAAATGCATATCAAGTTTATCACTTCACTGACAAGCACAATATCTACCTCCTAAAGTAAATCTACAACGGGTGAAGATTTTTCTTGGACCATACAACCTTTTCTACTAAGCATCTGCAATGTATTGAAGGCATAACAAAATAAAACCAAAATTTTCTAAAGGCTCAAAAAGCAGAATTTTTATAGAGTGCCCAGAAAAGTAATATAAAAGAACTGAATTCTCGAGTTACAGCCAAAAAGCTAGACGATTTCAAGGCAAAAGAAAGGCCTCTCTAAAACTATCTAAAGCATTCCTCGACTCCTATACTTGAGCACTACTACTTGAAAGGCCATCCAACACAAACTTTAACTTCCTCACAAGCAGCAAAAAATCCATATTGCTTAGTACTGTGTCTGAAGAATTGCTTAGTACTGTTTCTAAATTTGTTACCATTCACAGAACATCAGGTCTACATTCCTAATATCCATGAATAGCAAAAGTCTAGCTCTCCTGGTTCACACTGGTACTGCAAATAATGAGATGCCCACAAGTACAATTTTAGTGGCTAATCTCACAAGAAAGAGATCCCAAAAAAAGGGCTGCAAGAATTGAAATTGACAGGACCATCATCGCACAGCTTATATATTTTATGCCCTCTGCACTACCCAGCTCTAAACTCAAAAAAAAAAAACAAAAGAATAAATTGTAAATGACTGCTCCAGAAAAAGTCCCCAAATTGACATGCACAAGCAAAATAAATCACAAGAATAGTCAGACGCAAATGAAAAGCCAAGCTTAGACGAGTGCTACACCACACGCACTTCCCCTTGTTGTCATTACATTTTCTTATGCTCATTCCACCCATATAGTCCACGAAAATCTGCAACATTACTCGTGAATCATATAAATGGACATTCTCAATTTCCTTCCTGCGCCATGTTCCTTGCATCAGCTACCTAAACTTTTCCTCGAGCAAAGCAATTAAAGGTCGAAAGAGAAAAACAAAATGAAACAAAAGATCCTCCTACGCTTTTTCCTCATCAGATTCCTTCTCATTAGCGTAAAGGCTCCACATCGGTTAAGGATGCCTCATATAACAATAGAATGCTACAGTAGTTAAAGGCACTAAGCTCTTCTAAAATGTTTTAAGTTCTCAAGGCTCTGAAAAAGAAGGATTAAACTATTGCACTACTCTACAGGTAATTGTCCTTAAACTAATATAGTATCCCATCAAAGTCTCTTCCTCTAAATCACAGTAAGTCCAGTTTGTGATGCCAATGCCACCAACATGAACTTCTTGCCCAATAAAGATCTGATTACCAACTAGTCACCAATCAATTCCCATCTTTGGATAGTCATTCTACATAAATTGAATTGAATGTCCCTAAAGCTTATTAGATTTATGAAGGTCATTGATTTATCACAAATATAGGATACCAGTAATCTATCTCATGCTCCAACACTTTGCATCTCTGTACTAATTGCTAAGAGCAAAGTGTGATTATGACAAATGAAACTCCTATTGGCACTTTAAAATCTAGAAAACTCAAATTTAGTGCATCCCTGCTGCTATTTAACTATTTCAAGTTCAAAATGTGCACAGTACAACTGCAGTAAGCCATATGCCGACATCAAAAATCACACTGATCTCTCACGATATTCTCAACTAACTTCCTACAGATACAAATATGTTTAAACTAGCAATCAAATGACCTATTGTTGTAGTTAGTACTATTTTGTAAATGTCTAAAATGCCACAGAATATCAGTTCTGGCACATACAGCAGTTTGCTTGCAAAATGATTCAGAAATGTCCTTAACGCTATCACACATGTTCAGTATATCATGCTTAATGCTCCAAAACAAGCTGCACAAGGATCCAAAAGTTGCAGGCACATTTAATAATCTGGCTTCATACCATGAGAAGAGATGGTGCCAAAGATGGATCAACAGAGTTGTAGACAGCCAGTTTGGGAAACACATGATGGACCAATTGCCTCTGGGAACTTTTCTACAAACAATTCAAAAAAAAAAACAGAACTTTTTCATTAAACTTAACCCGGAAAAATATACACGAGTTTTCCATGTCAAAATAGATTAAACACCAGCATACTTGATCAGAGGCCGCTGCTAATTCATGAATGCTCCTCGCCAATTGTGCATAAGAAACAGGCTGAAACAAAAGAATAAAACAGGCATTACTAACAACATAACACAAGCTTAATCACAGCATTGATTCTCTACTCATCTTGTTCAATGAATCTAAAAAATTGAAATAAATCCCAACAAACTCACAGAATTTCACCTAACTATGCTTAGTGAATAACCAAGCAAGCAATTGTAAGCTAAATTAGTACACTTATCTAAAATTCCAACATAAACAACTAAAATTCAGAACGATAGAATATGCAACTCACTTATCAATGCCCAAAGTAGTAAAGCAGAAGTTTTACTCCTTTTTTTTCACCTCCAAATAAAAGTTCACTTCCAACAAAATTACAAGAGAAATCTGAAAAAAAAAAACCACAACTTTTGCGGAATGAGCATTTCTATACCCTTTTCTTTTGCTTTTGCGGCATAATGTTAGCTCTGACAGGGTTAAGAGCAGCTTTGGCAGCGGAAATCGTATCGCTTTGGATCTGCATTAACGTTCCTTTCTTCGATTTCTTATCCACCACCACCGGAATCGGCGCCCCAATATTTGCTGTCGTAGTTTGGGGCGGCGGTGCTGTCGAGGAAGCAGTAGTTGAAGCCGCCGACGACGGCACTGTCGACGACGGTTGGTCCGACGTGATCAGATCCATCAGCGTCGTCCCCGAAGAATCCTGCACACGTTTTTTTTAACGATTCTGAAATTAGAAACTAATTTGACGAACAAATCATAGTATATATCATGAAATCAGTGAAATTTGAAGTGTATTTTCAGTTTTCAGAGGTTTATTTCCATTTCTTGTCGAGGCAAATGAAGAGGCGAAAGGATCTGAGAATGTTTACCGCCATGATTTGGGGTTTATCAGAAGAGGAGCAGAGATCAGAAGGAGCGAAAGATCAGAATTCGACCTGGTTCAACTGGTCGTTAGTAAATTAGTTTCTTCTCTTGGCCCCAAAAAAAAAAAAATGTATTAGCTTAATTACATTTTGGTCCTTCAAAAATGGTCTGAACTCTGAGTTTGGTCCCTTCAAATGGAAAAAGTTTCGATTTCACACTTTAAAGTAGCAAAACATTTCAATTTCACACGTCAAATGATAAACGTACAGCTTGTACTTTAAGGGTTCGTTTGGGAGTGAAGATTTGGATAGAAAAGAAAGGGAAAGAAGAGAAAGTTTACTTTTGCTTCATTTGTTAGTTTTAAGTAGGAAAGAAAAGAAATGGAAAGATGAATAGTTAAGAAAATGCTTCCTCCCAAATCGGAAAGAAATGGGAAGAAAGTTTGGAGAAAGCTTGATATTTTTTTTAAAATGCCTATTTTGTCCTTAAAAAGATTTTGAACAAATATTTAATGATTTCTATGTCCAAAATCATTTCACTAATTCTCAAAACTCCCAAACAACATAACAATCTCTTCCCTTCTTTCATAACTTAAGCTTTCCCTTCTTTTCTTTTCTATCCTAAACTCCCAAACTAAGCCTAGGTGTATCTTGTAACTCAACAAACCAAAATACATATTCTAAGTAGAAATTGCAAGTAGTAAGACTAGTTCCATACTCTTGTAGTTACTAGCAGATCCTGTGATTGATCCTCGGGTGCTACCTCGTTGTGTATCCTTGGAGTAAGACACTACATACTTCTGGAGAATTAGTATAATCGAAAGATTGTGATACTTTTAGATAGAAAAAAAAAAACACTATTAGGGGATTATGGGATACCCCTAGGTGAAAAGAGTGTAGGAAGGAGTGTTATGCTATGCCTTCAACAGTGGTTGGATAAAGAGCGAGAATATTTCTAATAAATTTTTTTTTTTTTTTTTGAGAAGAGGTGTCCTGAATGTGCAAAAGATATAAGGATGGAATTTTGAATTTTTGTAGGAATTTTGTGAAGACTAAGACTGTTAAATTTTTGTTTAGCTCTCATTGCTCTAATATCCCTTTTGAGGAGAGCAATTCAATTTTGTAGGGTCATTGGTTTGGCAGGGAATTTGTCAATGGGATACTCCTAGGTTAAAAAAAAAATTCTCATAGGGTATGAGTTTGATCGAAAAGATGAAATACCCTACGTGAAAAAAAAAATAGAAATCACGAGTAAATAGTAAGTATTTTTGTAATAGATCTATAGCTAAGACCCCTGTAACGTCTTGGCTAAGACACTACGGTGCACATATAAAAATTTTTGCATTTTTTTTTTCAATCATTAAATCATATCATCTCTCACTTGCCTATGGGTAGCCAATGTCTTGTCTTTTTTCCTTTTTCTTCCAATGTCTCACTTTCGTCACACACCTATTGTTGCATTGCCATTAAATAGGTGAATATGATTCATGTTTTTTTTAAATAAGTAGAATATCAATCTTGCTTTATTTCCAATGTTCCTGTGCTACTTTGGTATATAAAGTTTGATCATCTACTCCTTTTTTCTAAGAATTATGCTATTCTATTTGTGGGGGCAAAAGGTTATTGATACGACCCTTTGTTCTTCTATGGATTTTATTCATCAAACAAATTCAAAATCTACATTTCCATGACCGCATCAATGGCGATGTCGACCGGAAAACTTTTATATCTAATTTGATTGATGCCTTTTTATTAACGTCACTTGAGAAAGGATCATGAATGCTAAATATTTGTAATAGTTTGGTTTGAATATATGCGTAATTTTGTTGCAATATTTTTGCATACATAGGTAGAGATTTAATTGGAAAGTTAGTCTAGAGGGCTACTTTGTCACTACATCTATAGACTATTGCCCCCCCCCCTTTTTCTTGCTAATTAGACATCCATTTTTTGAGTTACTTTCCTTTTGTAACAAATAAATGATACAAAAAAACAAGGGAAAATGTATGGAAGAGAGAGAAAAGCTAAAAACTACATGTACTTATTCTTTTATCTCTCATCGTGAATCTATTATTATTACCGAAGGAAAAAATTATTCAATACGTGAGATACATGAATCATTGCTATAATCTTGATATTTTCAAGTTATTAGTTATTACTCAATTTGATTCACTTCTCTCTATACATTTATGCTTTCACTCATCACAATGTATTTCTTAGTTTCAATTTCTTCATAAGCATGACAAAATATAAAATTTCCCTACCAAGAATTGGGTGAAAGCTAGTTTATGAAGAAAATAATTTTGTGCCATTTTTATATAATAAGTGGATTAAATTTATGATTACTATTACTTTTGTACTCTAATAGTGATGACATTTACTTTTTTACATTTGTTGTAACAAATTCTTGTAATAAGATGATTTTTCATTTTAGGCATTTTAACAAAAAATTGGAGCATATGATAAACAAAAACTTTGTTTGCTTGAAATCATTCTTTTTTGCATTGAGGTGTTTTACTCTCTGTTTGGATGAGAGTTTTTTTAGAGATGTTTTTGAAAAGGGATAAGTTTAGAAATATCCCATGAGGTTTTGACAAATTTACTTGCCTCCCTTCAACTTTTGAAAATCTCATGCACCTTTCCTAACTGAGAATTGGGACCTATTACTGAGATAATGTCTGGCAAAATGACTATTATATCCACAATCTTGATAATATTAATTTAACAATTCCTTAAAAACCACTATTGGAACGTATTTGAAGATTAAACAGAAAATTGGCCAATTGTTTTCAGTAGATTGATGGAATTTCTCCCCCAAACGACACACTTTTCTAATAATTACGTACCATTAAAAATGTATCCTATATCATTTAATTTTTTTTTAGGTCTTTTGCTTTTGGTCTTTGTAATTAGTTGAATTACTTTGCAAAGTTAGCCATTGATTAGTTTGATCAGTTTAACTTCATTAATTCATCTGCTACATACTTATTTAAATTTATGCCCAGACTTTTGGTTTTTGTCTGCCAGGATTTAATTCATTTAATAATTTATCAAAATAAACAGTTGCAATGATTAGAAAAGGCTTTTTTTTCCCACTAAATTTCATTCTCTCTCCAAAAATTTTTTTCTATTCAAAATTTTTATTTGGGCTGACATGTTACATAATAGTTTTAAATAAGGGAGCTAAGCAAGATTTTCAGAAGTTGATAATAAGCAAGTACAATTGTTAGAAGACTCAATAGAGGTTTCTGAAATTATCCCTTTTATAAAACTTAAATGATAGATGTGTGTATAACTAAAACACTTATATAGGGTGTTTTAGAAGTGATTAATTAATGTGTTTGGTAAAAATGAACGTTTTTCAAAGTGATAGTGAAATTACTTTCCCATATCTCAACCCTCTCCTTGCTCATTTTCCTACCCTTTCTCTTCATCATTCCTCTCCATCCTTCTCCCATCCTTGGCCTACCACCATTACTTCTCCCATTTCCCTTCATTCACTTGTCATTTCCCTCTTTCCCAATTTCTCTTCCGTTCCCATTTCTTTTCTTTCTCCTCATTTATTCCTTCCCTCTTACATTTCAACCATTACACTTTTTTCCCTCTCCCGATCTAGTCATGCAAGAGTGCGGGGAAGGAAGAAAAATAAGGAGTGATGAAGGATGTGGGAGAAGAAAGAAGATGGAGGGTGGTACAGAAAAATATTAAGAAAAAGGTAGAAATGAAAAGCGGCATAGGAAAAAGGAAGAAAAGAGGAAGGGGAAAAGAAAATAGGCTGAGTTGCCAGGATTTAGATAATAAGGGATAGAGGGAGATTGGTGATTGGTATGAGAAAGAAGTGTGATGTATTTTTTGAATTATTGGTTTGTGTGTTTTAAATTATTATTTTGATGTTCTTGAGATATTTTTAGTATGTTTTTCACAGGTGTCACTCTAAATGTATGTATAACACCATTGTCAAAAAGCAATAATCCAGCAACACATAGTTACTCATTTCAAATACATTTTAAATACATCTCAAATACACCTATCAAAAAATGCCAAAAAATAACAAAAAAAAAAAAAAGAAATCACCGTCCCTTTCTCCCTCTACCACTATCCTCTCACTCATTTCCTTAGCTTCCCCTTCTTCTTCTTGCTCCTTATTATTTCCTACCGTTGCCCTTTCCCTCTCACTTCTTCTCTTTCCTCTCGTCCTTTCTCTCCCACTTTTTCCCTTCATTTCTCGCAACCATGTCTAATTGTAAGGAAAAAGGGGAGGGGGTGGAAGGAAAATGATAAGAGAGGAGAGAAGAAGAGGGGAAAAGGAACATGGAGGAGATAAGCGAAAGAAAAGAGAAGAGGAGAAAGATGAAAAACGAGAGTAGAGTAGAGGGTAAGAAGGAGTGCTATTGGAAGCAAACGGGGGACGAGGGTGGTAGAGATGAGAGGAGTGAGGTGGAAGGTGATTGAAATCAAGATTTTTAAATCGAGATCTTACTTTGGATCGTTTTAGAAGTTACAAGATCGAATCATAGATAGGTTAGAATCGTAAGATTCAATTGAAAAAAAAAAAACAAAAATCAACATTTTATTAATTTATAATCTTATTGTTCATAAAAACATATGCAAATAGATATAGAAAAATGCAATTGTAACTAAAAAAAGAAAAGTTCTTCAACTTAAATGTATTATTTATAGTATTATATGCGTATAGATAAAAGTTTGAGTTGCTTTGGAATTTATTTATTTTTTGGCTAAAAATTTAGAAACTATATTTTATTGGTGTAAATTAATGAAAATAAGATTTTGAACTACAAATTATTAAGAAATTTCCTAGTTCATATTAAAAAAACCATAGTTGAGGTAGGGGAAAAATTTTCAAAATATCCCGAATAAGTTATAAATATTAAATACACTATCAAATACATTTATATTAAAAATTGCTCCACCATTGATTTTTTCCACAATACCCTCAAAAACACCTAACACAAAACGAAGTTATTTTTTCAAAACAATCAAATCCAAGCAGAGCCTCAAATTTCCATCAACATTCACATCTCTCCATGATCAATCACATACCAATCCAACAACCAAA